GAATCATGGCTTGGGATCTCATAACCATCATTAACTAGCTGTCTTTGCTTAATCTTGCTGAGCTGGTTTCCTCAGTTGTAAAAAGGGAATAATAATACTGACCTCTCTGGGCATATATAAGGATCAGTATAAGAAACATACTCTACTTGGCATATTGTGGGCATTCAACAGATTTTCCTCACTCTTTCTTACACTTTCCTAAATGGGAAGAGAATCATTATTTGCACCTCTTTGCAGTTTAGTTGTCGAACTGAGCACCAGCTAAAACCTTCAGCTGTCTTTCAGAGTTTAGGAATCAATCTGTCTGCGTTTAGGTGGTGAGGTCAACTTACAGCCTTGAAAACATACCATTTCTCTGAGACTTAGTTGCACTGTATATTATGCTGAAGATAAAAACTACTGCACAGTGCTGTAATACTTAGCTTTAACAATATATGGAAAATAATTTGTTGCTAAATGGCACAGTACTTTATCAATAATATATATTTGTACATTATGTTCGTACCAGCACTTCAACCCCCCCCCCCAAATAAATAACTTTTATTTCATATGTGAGAATTTTTCTACAGGACTAACTATGATATAAATTTATATGTGTATACAAATGAAAAGCATATGGTTGAGTGAAATTAAGAATATCTTAAATGATTACTTGAAAAAAAAACTTGGGCTCAGTGTTAACATGCATGTTTTTGTTGCGCGATGCATCATTTTGAGGTAAGCTGCAGTCACCTGAGATTTATCCAGCTGACACTGGATGTCACCATTGTGCTGCGCAGTGTAGCTGCAGAACAGGTGTTTCTCTTCAAGGACTTGGAGATGTTAGCCTTTCCTGCCTCATAACCTCATTATCTGGTGGTTATAATTTGTGATTATCTTTTGTTATAGTTTGTGATACCCAAGCTCTATGGAATAATGATAAAGCACAAAAGAACTCTGCTAAAACCATTTGGGGTTCCTGGTTGCAAACTAGAATAATGGGTGAATGATTTGGCAGATGAAAAATTTACTAAAAGGATGTGGAGTAGCTCCCAGCATTCATGGAAAAGTTGCAAAGCTAAGATTGGAAAGTGGGAGATCTGGTGTACATCAGCAAGATCGGGCCTCAGGAAGAGCTAGACCTGTCTGTCATTGCTACTCGCCACCAGATACCACCATTGGCGCTCCTGCCACTCGCCACAAAGCATCATTCTGTCAGGCTTCTTTCTTTTCTTGAATGCTAACTGGGTTTGTGTGGCCTCCAGCTTTGCCAAGGCAGGTGAGCAGTCTCAGTGTCACATTTGAAGGGCCAGCGCTCAGTGGGCCGAGTCTGAGTGTTGCAGCTGTCTGTGCTCCAGATCCAGGGAGTGAGGAGTGTGAGGGATCGGGATCATTCCTGCAGGACTCACACAGACAGCGATTCAGTATCTGGGAAAGAGATTCAGGGGCCAGATAGCCAAATGTGCCAAACATCTTCCGTGGTACTCTTCAGCCAGCACAGAAGGGAGCTGTGGCTGCTTGCCTGGCCTGGCCACGCCGCATCTGACAGCTTCGCAGACTTTGGTGAACCCTGCCTGTTCTTCAGCCCTTGGGAGTCACACAGCTAGGGCTAGACCTGCTTTAATGTGGCCAAGAAAAAGCCTTCTTAGGCAAACTGAAAGTCTCAGAATGTTTCAGTGAACTTTTAAAAAAATAAAAAGTGAGCCCTCCAACATTAAAAGAAAAGGAAAAGACAACAGCAGGATATGTGGTGTACTATGGTGCTCTTTGAGCACTAATATGAGCAAAGGCCAGCCTCTGCTCTGTCTTCCCTCCTTGCTGACGCCCTGTACTCCCGATTGCCATATGGCCTGCATGTGCTTTCATTCCATTCTTTCTCTCTCCCTCTTTCATACTCACGTTGGCGTCCCTCATCACTCATCCCAAACAGTGGCTCCTTTTATGCCATTCACAGCACTGTCAACAGCTCCCATACTTATGTGTTTCTTTCATGTCTGTCTTCCCCTCTGACCTGTGAGTCCCATGGAAGCAGGGTTTTGGTCTCACCCCTGTAGCAACAGCTCCTAACACAGCAGCATTTAGTAAATATTTACAATAGGGAGGGATGAATCAAGGGTTAAGTAAAGGAAGGAAATGCCTTTGTTATAATTTCTATACTATGGATATATGGATACATATATGGATATATGTATACATATATGGATATATGTATTTAGGTTCCTAGGGCTGCTGTAAACAAATGCTTCAAGCTAAGCAGCTTGAACATAGAAATTTATCACCTCACACTTCTGGGGCTTGGAAATCTGAGGTCAAGGAGTCTTCAGGGTTGATTTCCTCCAAGAGCTATGAGGGCAAATCTGTTCCATGCTTGTCCCTGGCTTCTGCTGGTTTGCTGGCCACGTTTGGTGTTCCTTGTTTTGTAGAAGCATCACTCTGAGCTTTGCCTTCAGGTTCATGTAGCTTTATCCCTGTGTGCTCATCCTAGCTCCAAGTGGGAATAAAGATTCAACTGTATGATCTCATCTTTCCTTACTAATTGCATCTACAATGCCCCTATTTCCAAATGAGTTCCCATCCTGAGGTGCTAGGGCTTAGTACTTCAACCTATGAATCTGGAGGGGGTACCCAACTTATAACAAAGCCTGATACCTGTTTATTGTGTAATATTTCAGCTATTCTCATGTCATGAGGCAGTGTAATTGGTTTACATTGTTCTGGATATCCAGTATGTTCTCATTTAGAATTCCCAGTAATATGTGTGCATTGCTTTGTAGACTGTATTCATTAGATGCTAGCTTCATCATTGAGAATGTTGACAAATTATTGATGGTTTAGTAATAAAGAATTAGTGCCATGGATTTGTTAGTCTTAAAATCCCCCAAAGCACATTTTTCCTTTATAGCCCAGCTCAGTATGCAGATTTAAAATATTACCTGGTTCTTCCCTGCAGGGGAGAAAACCACTCAGTCTGCTTGTCAGCCTTAACTATGGATAATGGTCTCATATTTTATTTACTTATTTGACAAACATGTGCAAATCATTTATAATGTATTTTACGGGCTAAGTGCTTGACAAATATTAACTCACAAGCAACCCCATGTTGGCTATTATTGTGAATAATTAATATTTGCTAAATTTTAGGGCTAATGAAACGGAAGCACAGAAAGGTTAAGGAACTTGCCCAAGGTGAGATAGCTGCTGAGTGACACAACAAGGGTATGAAGCTAGGTGGCTGTAGAACCCGCTTTCTTCACAGAAGCCACAAGGAAAAGTTCAGGGTGTGATAGGACAAGGCCAAGATGCTTTGGCTCAAGTGAAGGGGACAGAGCCCTGTCTGTTCAGCACCTCCCTCCTTCCTTGGAACCCTGTTTGAAAAGCTCTGACCTAGGATACAACTCCTTTTGGTGTGAGGCCATTTGTAAGCTGCCTTCAATCCATTCTAGCGTAAAACAAATAAAGTCTTTCCTCACTTTAATTAACTGATTGTGTTTTATTTTGAAAACTTTATCTGCCTAATCTATTTCTGGCTGGAATAAAATGCTAACATGGATTTTCCCCAGGATGGTAATGCCATATGGCAATTTGGACTTTGCTGGCTTATGTCCCCCTTGGGTTTCTTCATACAAATCAAGGACTATGGGCACAAAAGTTTTCAGAACACAGAGAAAAATGCAATTTAATTTCATATGGATAGAACTGGATGTAAAACTTTGTGATTAGATAGACACAACCTACCTCCTTTGTTAAGGGTTGCTTTTCTTCTATGGTTATTAATAATATAAAATAAAAGGTGTAATAATATTGATATTTACTAACTACTGAGTGTCTTCTATAACTGGGCATAACAAAAGAACTCATTTTCATAACTGTAGACATTATCACCAATGTTTTGCAGACATGTAACTTAAAGCTAAGATTTTATGTAACTTCTTTAATCAGTGAGTGGAAAGGGCAGGATTTTTGAGAAAAAAATTAAGAATTCTTTCTGAGGGATTAAGGATCAGAATTCTTGAGATTAAGAAAAAAAGGCACAAAAGGATATATTTTAGGATATATAGGTTAAGGCCTGATGTAACTGTCCAATTATGAAAGTCTGAGAATGTAGTGGGATCCTTTCTAAGGATTGATTCTTTGCTATGATAAAATGCCAGACCTCATCTGTTAATGTACAAAATCATAAAAAAGAAAAATGGAAGTGAATCAGTCAAATGAAATTGTAGATCAAGGGGGACTGAACTGAAAGAAATCCACCCCAGGCCAGATTGGTTGCTTCCCTTGCTTCCATTTTGTCACTGGTCTTTTGCTTCTACTCCCTGCCACTCCCTGATCCAGGTGTCAGCAAACGTTTCCTGGAAAGGACCCAACAGTAAATGTTTTAGGCATTGCTTGCCATGTATGTTTTCTATTCCAGCTGCTCAGCTCTGCTGTTATAGGGTCAAAGGAGCATGGACTATATGCACACAAATGGCCATGGTTGTGTTAAAGATTCATTTATGGACATTAAATTTGAACTTTTCTTGAATTTTTTGAACCATTCAAAAATGTAAAAACCACTCCTGCTCAAAGGCTATACAAAGAGATGTGGTTTGCTGACCCCCTACGCTGGCCTGACCATCCTCCCTCTGGTTTCCCAGCATGTTGCTTGTCATGTCTCAGGTGTTTCGTTTGCTCTGAGCATTTAAATGTTGCTTTGGACCAGGTTCTTAATCCCTGAAAGAGACTTTAGAGGAGGGAGTGAGAGAAGTCCTTGCGCTCACATTCTGCACAAGCCAACTTGCCAGATCAACTTCAGCAGAAATAAACAGAAGCCATAGCTACTGTCTAAGAGGATTTATAATTAAATGGAAAATTCTTGGCATGCTCTGTCAATTTCATTGAAGATTAAAGGATAAATGCAGGACTTTGTAGTATTCCCAAAGCTATCTTATTTCAGAGTGCTGCCAGCTGATGGGAAAATTCTTCGTGTCTTTTAGCAGCATAGGTAATTTTTAAGTTTTAAATATTTTGTTGCTTCTTTCTAGTGAAGCCAACCTTCTTAGGATGGAAACACCCTGAACTTGGGTGACCAGGTCTACCTTGGTAGACCAAGGCTCGAGTTTTACCTCTATTTGTTCTACTGTGATCGTGGGTAAGTTAGCAACATTATGGGATTCTTGGTTTCCTTATCAGTAAAATGGGTTTAATAATTCTATTTCTCTGGTCTTTTTGCTATGCTTGATTTTTTAGTTATTATTTATTACAAATATTTTAAACAAGACTGAAATAGAGGGGTCTGATGAGTTCTATTTTCCAACACCCAATTTTAACAATTACCTATATTTTGCTAACTTTCTTTCATCTTTCTCTAAACTCCATTTTATCCCTATTATTTTATTTATTTTTCCATTTAGTTTATTGGTACACTTTAGGTATACAATACAGTTATATTCATCATTGGGATCATGTACCTTTACATGATGTATCTTGGTTCTTATTTTTTTCCACATTCCCCTGCCCTCCCTTCACCCCCTCCACCCTTCCCTATTTACAAAGACTTTGTTTCCATGTTTTTTCCTTTTCTCATATTTTTTCTTTTCCCTTCTTTCCTTTCCCCTACCCCTCCCACTTCCCCTACTCCTTTAGACATTTTCTTCCTATTTCACAATAATATCCCTAATATTTTAAAGCAGCTCCAAATGTAATATATCTCAGCTACAAACTTTTCAGTGTATATTATTGCTAGATAAGACCCTCTAAAAATGTCATAATTGCATTATCACAGCTACTAAAATTACAATGGTTCTTTAATATCAGCTATTTTCCAGTCTCAAAAAATATCTATAAATACTTGGTTTATTTAAGGCAGGATCCAAACAATAACCATATGTTGCATTTAGTCATATGATTCTCAAGACTATTAATTTATGACAATTTTTAATTATGCTGAGATTGATTAATGAGGTCTCTCAGGTTAATGTATTCCTCATTAAACTTTCACATGATACTTTTAGCTTTGGTTGATGATTTTTGTTTAGATCCACCTTATTTCATAAAGTGTTGTAAACCATAAGTTTTTTTTTTTAATTCTGTCAATCCTTTTGAATTTATTAGCTGGAATGTTATAGGAAACTTTCCCATGTCAACTATTTGGTTACTATGAAATATAGTTCAATTATGGTCTGTCTCTCCATTGAATTTTTGCCTTACCAACTTCCAGCAGTGAACAATGAGGGCAGTCGATGTGGGGATTTTTTCACCATCATCATAAAATGAGAGATTTAGGATTTTTGATGTATTTTAGTTTATTGCAGTCATTCCTCTTCATTCAGCATTTTCTCTTGTGGATATGAGTGGTAGCTTAAAGTTACTTAACACATTTTATGCCTTTGACCTGAATCAGCCAAGAAGCCCTAGTTTCTTCTTAGGAAGATATGGTATACAAAGATCACAACCTGGCCAGCAGGAGTGCTAATTGCCAACATTTAGATGCTTTTCAAAAGATAGCGGTAGAATGTATTTTTTTTTTTTTTAAGGAAAAGTAATTATTTTTGTACTAATAATTCTAGGTCAGATTGTAAAAATTTTACCTAATGTTTTTGGCTCTGAATTTTTTTTCTGCTAAAATCTTGATTCTTAATGATCTTACCTCTACTTATTGGCTTTGTTCTACTGTATGTACTTGAGCACATGAAACACACACACACACACACACACAGTAGTTTCAAATTAGCAATACCAATGTTTCCATTAATAGTGTTATTGGCAATATAGTTTGAAATTGTTTTGCCATTCTTTTTGTTCTTAGAATAATTTGCACAAAAGAGATATTTATTGGCTTTTGTGCTTTTAAATCACTTGAAATAATTCATTGATTATGCCACCAACTTGGTATACACATTTTTTGGTTTCATTTTGATTTATTTTGCTAAGACTGCTTTTTAAAAATTTTGTTTTAGAATTGTTTATATATATGGTTCTGTGTCAAACTGTAAGACTTAGATTTTCCTCTTCCACTCAACATTTCTATTTTTCTCATATAATATGATACCGTAAATTCTTTTCTGCACTATACTTTAAGACCTCATAGCAGAAGTTTATTCAACCAATTCTGGTTTTGTGTGGATTTAATTGCAAATGATTCCATAGTATATAGCCTTTGCAAATAATTCCTTAGTATGTAGCCTTTATAGACTATGAATAAAGATACATACACAAACAACACAGTATTTTTTAAATCTGAGAATTGAACCCAGAGCCTTGTAGATGCTAGGCAAGCACTCTACCACCATGCTACATTCCCAGCCCACAACAAAGTTTTATTGTAATTATATTGTTAGCTCCACAGACATTTCTTAAGCACTTACAATGTAGAAGAATATAAAGATGAGTAAGACCTGTATCCTTGAATTTTTATAATGCAAAATGATGCTGAATAAAAAAGAAAAAATTTGAGGTTTTTTTTCTCCCTTGGATTATTTCATTTTCAATCGTTTAATCATGATTGTTTCCATGATGTTATTTCATGTAAAACTGATTCCTGGATATATGAATATGTACACATACCAATGATAATTTTCATTACAGTCCTAACTCTAAGTTTGTGAACCATGTAATTATATAATCAAAAACGTCAGTTTTGCTTAGGTGATTTTTTTTTTAAAGACAGAATTCACAATGACAGCAGTAACAGTGACCGCAGAATTTCCCTCAAGGGGTAGCAGAGAAGATAACTCTGCCTTGTATGAGTCTACATCGGCTCACATTGTTGAAGAAACTGAATACGTGAGAAAGGTATGTGGGTGCGAGAATTCACTTGCATGATGTGTATTTTTTTGATAAATTCTAATAAGGGTTGGTGGGCTTTTTCTTCCCTTGTTTTCATATGGAACATATGAAAAGTAATAAATCTGCTTTGGCAAAAGGCAGTCACAATAGCTGACATTTGAATGCATAGTAGTTTCTCCTGAGGATTTGAACCTGATCCCACACTTAGAGTAAAATGATTTTCTTCACTCAGTAAAATTGAATAATGGGCCAGAAGGGTTCATAACACCTATCAGGGCTTAATTTGCCCCGCACTATTCACTGCTGGATTTCCTACTGTTTTATAACCTTTCTCAGTGGTTTCATGAGTGCTGATCTGAGTTCCCAAGTAGATGTTTATGTTGCCTGCTGAGTTTCTCCCTCCTTACCTTCTTCCTTTTCACAGTTCAGGGAAACTATTGCCAATGTCTATATGTCTATATATTCCTTCATTAAAAAGTGAAGTATTATGAGAATCCAAGGTGATAAGGGCTAACAAAAGGAAATAACCATGTTAACTGTTTCTTACAACAGATGAATAAATTCTGACACAGTTCATAACTTGTTCAAATCAACTAATTATATTATGCTGAATGTCTCACAGTTCCATAGGTCATTAAGACATGGAGCTTATATTTGATGTATAAATTTGTATGATCACCTCTCAGTGATTATTCTGCAGTAATTACTTAATAATAATTATTTTGTAGTAATTATTAGATAGAGATTATTTTGTAGTAATTACTAGATGGTAATTTTGTAGTGATTATTAAACAGTAATTGTTTTATAGTAATTACTAAACAGTAAATTAGTACTAAATTATTATGTACACGAAATAGAACTAAATACCTAGTATTAAGTACTAACTTCTACTTAATAATTATTTTGTAGCATAATATTAATTTATCATATTTTAGGTTTGTCTAAGAAAGTAATATAAAGACCAATTTTTTTCAGCAATCTAAACAATATCAACCTAAGTGCAATTTGGATTGATGGCAGTTTTTAAAGTCTGACACCAGTATATATGTATTACTTTCTAGATAAAACAGGGATACTACCTGGTGTAGAGGAAAAAAGGACATGGCATTAAATTCCTCTGCAAAAAATATTTTTTTTTCCTCCCTCTAGATTCGAACTACTCTGGAAAAGATCAGAAATCAAATGTTTAAAGATGAAGTAGGACAGAACAGTACAAATCACAAACTAGATGCAAAGGTAATTAATTTATCAAAAATTTATGTTTTCTGTCAGAAAATTAGCATAAAGCCATATAGACTTTATTTAGCTGACTTTTCTGCTAATTATTATTCTTTGAACAATGAGTGATAAAATATTTCTTGCATCTCTAAAGATGTTAATGGCCATATACGTGGAATATTTAACCACAGATGTCAATAATTAGGATCAGATTGGAATGACTGGACATTGCTTGAATATTTTAAAGAGTCTTACCTAAAATATATGGGATGATGTTGGCTCACCGGGATGCATGGCAGCAACCTTTCCCAGTGATGGACAAAGGTGTAAGTGTGGGGGCTTACCTGGGCCACACTGGAGCCATGATTGAAGCTCTTAGTCCTGCACTGAGCGAGCACTTTGTCAGTCAGTGTACTTAATTACACTCCCCCCACTTCAACTGAAGACCAGCCTTATCCACCTAAGTTTGAGCAATCTGCATGACCCTAACCCTAACCTTATCTGGATTGTGTCATGCTACGGCCCATCAGAATCAAGTATGCTTCCTCAGTGTAACCCACTGTGTGGTGTGATTATGAGCACACTAAAACATAGGATATGATACAGAAACATAATCCCTTTGTCGTCTCAGTCTTTTCAACTGACAAGTTGGCCTCAAGTATTTTCTTAAATCAAGTGTTCTGAAACCGGGGGGAAAAAGTTATGTTTGGGAATGATAGGGAAGATCAAATCATGAGTTTTGAGCACCCTGAGTTGTATGTTAGTCCTCCAAGGAATAGGCTGCTGGACACATGAACCTGGAATTGAGGTTAGTGGTCTAGGCTAAAAGGTCCAGGCTCCAGGGTAGAGGTTTGGGGCACTTTGGTTGGTATCTAGTTTTGAAACTAGAGGAGATTCCCAAGCAAGTGTAGATAGATGAGAGATAATCCGAAGAGTGAGTCTTCAGCTTCTCAATGTTCAGATCTTGGGAAGAACCATCACAGGAGACTGAGAAGAGAAGCTAGTGAATTAGGAGGGAAAGAAGGAGAAAATGGAGTCACTGAGGGGAAATAAGGAAAGGGCTTCACAATGGGAGAGGAGTAACCGTGTCGAATGTTGTCTGTGCATCAGATAAATTGAAGACTGACCACTGATCATTGGAAATACTAAAGTGGAATTGTTGTTGGCCTTGGTAGGAGTAGTTTGTTAGGAATGAAGGTGACACGGTGCAGTCACATCAAACACAGAAGGTCATCAGACCAAACAAGCACCAAAATATCAGCCCCCTAACCCTGTAGGAATTTTACTGTAATGGTCCAAGGTCTTGCTACCCTCAGAAAGTGGGCCACTGTCACAGCAGCAGCAGCATCCCCAGGAGCTTGTTAGATATGTGACCTCCTGATTCAGAATCTGCGCCTTTAACTAAATCCATCACCAATGATGCCTATTCACATTAAAGTTTGAGAAGCACTGATCTATACATTTTGTGGCTCCCTCTGATCTATACATTTTGTGGCTCTCTCCCCCTGCCAATAATCTACTGTTGAGAAAATTCTTTCTGTAAAATATTCTTTTACAAACTAAAAAACAAAAAAAAGCAATTCCTACTCTCTATGTGGAAGACACACGAGGCTCAGGGTCACAGATCCAAAATTGCGGCAGAACTGTGGGGAAGGAGAGTGTTATCTCTCTGCACTGTATTCTTTTTGTCATTATATTGTGAAAAGAACAAAAGCTTTGCTTTTAAACAAACTTGTATTTAATTTCAAGTTATTTTAGTTATTACCTTGAGCTTATTAGATGCTCATCATTTTTCCATCTGCCTTGAAATAAGTTGAAAGAACAGAAAACGCAAAGGCTGTGCCACGATCTCTTGAATTTATTTGTTACATAAACTCAGGTTCTGGTTGGTTTTTGTATCTGTAAAGTTGATGGAATAAGTTAGATATTTTATAATTTCCTTCCTAACTCCATATGTCCATGATTCCGGATTAGATTTACGGTACAAGTGAGCCAGAGTTTATGTAGAATTATAATGGCAATAACACTCCATTCTTATATTTCTGATTGGAAATTTAATGTGAAGTGATTACAATAAAGCATCACTGAACATTGAATATTATGTATTATAGCTATTAGGGTTGATTTTATTAGTTTGTAATGCAATGTAACCAAAATATACTTATGTCTATGATGTAGGAAAGAAATCTGGTCTCAGGAATATGATTTATCTCTTAACAGTATATTTGAAACTCTGGGGAATATAAAAGGGATAAAATACAAGGTTCCACCTCTGTCTGTTCATATTTGAACAAAGATTGAAGCCAGATGCCTCATGTAGAATTCCCCATTGATATTTGTGACTCAAAAGATGACTTTATTTGTGCTGGTCTGAATCTCTTTTGATATATGTAATACTAAGTAATAATTATTGTCAACATTTGCAGAGGAGAGGAATATTCAGCTCTGTGATTTTCATGTATGCCCATTTCAGCACTGTGGAAATGTTCAGAATGGCCCTGATTCTGAAATGAACTCTTCCTGCTGCAGTCTGGACTTGCTCTTGAACGAAATGAGAGGAAAAGATCTACAGCTCTTAGAAATGAACAAAGAGAATGAAGTGTTGAAAATCAAGGTATGACTATTAGGAGGACGTTCAAATTTCATATTTTGAGTGTGTGAGCTACCAGTAGGTTGTTAGCATTCATCAGTCTAGGTATGCAGCAAGACATCCACACACATCCGTACACCTACACATGGGCTCACATTCCTTATATTTGACAAGTTAAGTCTCAGTGTTTGACCTTGGAAAGTATTTCTATTTTTAAAGAAATATTTTAAAAGTTCAATAGTTATAAGGTTTCAGTTATGCAAGATGAGTAAATTCTAGACATCTGCTGTGGGACATTGTGTCTATACCTAACAGTGCTGTACTATAGAATTACAAATTCGTTAAGAGGGAAGATCTTATGCTAACTTTTCTGTACCATGATACATTTTTAAGTGTGTTTCCATATTGAATATATAGTAAACATAGCCTTCATAGTAAAATGTTTCGTTATTTATTTAATTAATCCATTGTTGAATGCTTTATATTTTCCTTTAGGGGCTTATTTTATTTGCAGTAACAACTGTCTTGGTAGGCAAATCTTGCGGCTATCCTGGATAGTGTCCTTAGGTTAACTCCTTGGAAGTTTCATGATCCTTGAATTTTTTTTGGCCTTACTGCTCTAAACTTGTTCTGCTTCTATTTTTGGAAGATATTCCTGTTAGTACTGTTGTGGACCTCAGCCATCAAAGGCTTGCAATTAAGTATATGAGCTGAGGGGGCGCTGTGGAGCTCCCCGAAGGGTGAGGTCTATCCGCACAGGGCATCTAACCACATAGAGCTCTGATTTGGTGAAGCTAATCTGCCGATTCTTGTTCTACATTTTCCTTATATCAAATAGCAGTGTCTTTTCAGCCATCCTTTGTCTGTGAGGGTGCACATGGTACTATTGTAGAGTCTGTTCTTAATTCCCCATCACACTGTTTTGCCTTTAACATTTTTGCTGGAAATATCAAAACATGCAAAGTGACTTTTTTCCTAGCTGGCAGCCTCCAGAGAAGCAGGAGCAGCAGCTCTAAGAAACGTGGCCCAGAGGTTATTTGAAAACTACCAAACACAATCTGAAGACCTGAGGAGAAAGCACGAGGACAGTACACACTTGCTCCAGGTAGCAACAGGCCAGTCCGGCTTTTGAGAGAACTTAGATGTGAAACAATCTAAGCCATGGCCAAGTGATTTGGCAGGCTCAGGGGAGTAAGCCACGAACAGAGTGGGGATAATTATTCTGCTTTTATATTACTTTTTGATTAAAAACGAAGCAGTTTTAAACTAAATACATAGGATTTAATTTTTTGTTATAGATAATTTTTCTTGAGCAAAGGTAGAATATTTTGCTTCTCTTAAATTAGTATCTGCCTTTTTCATACCATTTTGAGAATGTGCTTTATTGTATATAAATATTTTAGGAATAATATTTATGTATTATTTTCTACTATGACTCACCAGGTTCAATTTAAAGTCAACAGTGAAATCAAAAGAGTATTCTAAAGAAGTCTGAATTATTCTTTTTTGTTGTTGGTGGTGGTGGATTAGAAGATTCTAATCCAGAGGGAGAGAACATTTATTTGGTTTAATGAAAGCAGAAGTCTAGCAACTGTTTTTTTGTGACCAAAGGTTAACAAGCTTGAAAAAGAACAGAAATTGAAACAACATGTTGAAAATCTGAACCAAGTTGCTGAAAAACTTGAAGAAAAACACAATCAAATCATAGAGTTGGAGAATCTTGTACAGAGAATGGAAAAGGTATGCACCTGGAGAGTTAAAGGAATTTCTTGCTGACAGGATTCAATCAAAAATGAAAGAAAATAACACTGAAATGAATGAGACATTAAATTAAATAATATCAAATGAAGTAACAGTATTCCTTATGATTCCCAATCTTTGGAAGTGCTCAATAATGTCAGTTTTTTCCCTTAAGCATTTAATGTGATCTGTACTGTAGTTACTGATTTATTTCTGCAGATACTTTAGTCATATCATTGTCACTTGCTAATACATTGTAACTTAGAAAGAGGAGCCAGCTGAGCATGTGGATGGAAATAATGGAAGACTACAAAGTGCGCTGGTCAGGAGTTAACAGTAAAGTAGATCCCTATAATCATAGTAAGTTTATGCATTACAATCAGTGCAACATCCATTTTTGTTCACCCAATACCATGTTGGATTTCAAAAAACAGAAAAGAGATAGTTCACATTAAGAACAACCATTCTAGCCAGAGGTGATAGCATGAACTGGTAATCCCAGCACTCTGGGAAGCTGAAGCAGGATGATCCTGTTGAAGCTCAGCTTGAATAACTGAGGGACTTAGTCAAACAATGTCTCAGAATACAAGATAAAACCAGTACTGGGGATATAACTCAGTTCAAAGTCCCTGGGTTCAATCTCCAATACCAAAACAAACAAAAAGCATAATAAATAGCCATTCTATGGCTATTGAAACTTTCAAAAGGTAAATTTATGGAAAAAATAGAAGAAAAATTATAAAGGGTTTCATGGAGAATTCCTTTAAGGTCCTGGATTTCCAAATATGTACAAAAGGTAAACACAACTTTAGTTATGGATGCTTTAGAATTTAGAATTCAGACAAAACCATATTATCTTTCAATAGCAAATAAATAAGAAATTGACATCCTTGGAAGGAGATCAGTAGATCTTTGGATTCTAGGAAATTTTGCCCAATTCATTTCACTAGTTATTGTTTTATTTCCCTAATTTGCCCCTGTTCTTTTCAACCTTAATTTGTTTTATGAGCCTGGCTGGGTTGTGCCATTTTGGAAATGTCACTTCAGAAGCATCATAATTTCAAAAGTATTCAGGCTTTTTACCCAAAAGAAAAAAAAGAAAAAAAAAAACTTGGATTAGTTTTAAAATATTTGCCAAGAATGTAACATTTTATAACATTTTGAATTTAGTTGAATTTATAATCTTAATGGAGAGCTTGTGTGAAAATCACAAAAATTAAATAAGCCCAAGCTTAACAAGATCTAATGATAATAATACATAGCAAATAAATAACATACAGCATTTTTTAATGTGATAGGTCACTGAGTGCTGTTATGTAGCAGATTCACTGAACTACGACGTCCTCAATCAGTTGGCTTATCCATGCATGCCAGTTAATATTTGTGCTGTTTGTGGAAAAACCACAATTTTGCACTGAGTACTTGGTAGTGTTAGAATACTTTATCTTGTAATAAATGGTATAATAAACTAAGATAGCAAAAAGAACGATTGCATTTAGGAAAGAATGACAGTTCTGAATAGGGTTGCTTAACAAATCACCTTGATTTACCAGCTCAGCCTTTAAGCTTAAGCTTTCAGTCACCCAGTCTCACACCCAGAAACACTGGGTCAGGTTAGTGGTCACCTGTCAGTGCTGGAAAATTAATGAAAGGCCACTGGAAGATAACTTCTATTTCCTAGCGACCCCAGGAATTCATACTAGATAGGAATTCATACTAGATATGAATTCATGGCAGAGCTCTAGAGTATATTTATTTGACTGTTTATTCATTATATTTGAGCACCTACCATTTGCTGCTAGAGTGGGGCCTGATATTTATTTGTGAATGGCCTGTACATAGTCACTGTAGAAATTATAGTGTGTACAACTGGATTGTATGGAGCTCTCAGAATTTCCCAGATCTCCTGTTTTAAATTATCCTAAGCATTTTTTGGAAAGGCTGAAAACCCTTTTAAAGGTAGGGGAATGCAACCCAGGATAGTATCCAGTGGCTCAGATACTAGGAGTCTCTTTCTTTCCACCCTCTCTCCCTCCCTCTTTCCCTTCCTCCCTTCCTCCATCCTTCTCTTTCTCTCTCTCATTGTTTTTCTTTTTATTTTTCAGTACCAGGGATTGAACTCAAGGCCTTGTGTAAGCTAGACAAGTGCTTTAACACCAAGCTACATCCCCATTCCTTAAAAGATGTTTTTGGACACAAGGTCTTGCTAAGTATCTTCAAACTTCCTATCTTCCTGCCTCAGCTTCTTGAGTGCTGGGGTTACATTGTGCACGTCCAGCAGTGAAAGACATTTTTGGGAAGTGATGGCTTAGCCCCTTTCTTGATATTGCCCAATAACTGTGAGCTACCCTAGGAGCTTTTTTTTTTTTTGTACTGGAGATCGAACTTGGACCTTGCGCTTGCCAGACAGGTGGCGGAACCACTGAGCTAAATCCCTGGCCCACCTAGGAGCTTTTTGACACAGTAAGGGAGCAGAATGCTAATGGCTCAGCAAGATCACGCTGCAATTTTCCAGAATGCTGTAATTCAGTGACTACTAGAGTTGGGCCGGGGATTTAGCTCAGTGGTTCTGCTGCCTGCCTCACAAGCACAAGGACCCGAGTTCAATCCCCGGTACCAAAAAAAAAAAAAAATAGAGTGAAGCCCACCTGAGTCTCTGGGAGGATGAGGTGAATGGGGATGTAGGAGAGGGACAGTATGCAGGAGTGTTTATTTGGGTTTTTTTTGGTACTGGGGATGGAACTCGGGACCTTGCGCTTGCAGGGCAGGCGCCAGAACCACTGAGCTAAATCCCTGGGCCAGGAGTGTTTTTAAGACATACTTAAATATATTTTATATTTATAAAACAAATAAATTAGACTATAAAGAACAAAGCTTGGCAACATCTTCCTGGCTTATGGAGATAATGAGAAGTCTGACTATGAAGGGGTTTCTTGGGTGGGTGGTCCATATCAGGGGGGGCATGGCGCCCTTTGTATTAAAAATAAAACGATAGAAATTCAAAGAAGAAGTGAAAGTGAAAAATGCACATCCTCTGAAAAGTTGATAAATACTGTCTTGGTGTGGGTGTCCCCTGGAGAAGGATTCATTTGCTGCTCACTTGAACAAGGCTCTGCTCCAGTAAATAGCCATTAGTGCTATGAGGTCTGGTAATGAACACATTACTTAAAACCTCCACCATCTGCCTTGCTTTAATCAGGAATGCAGTGAGAATGAATTTGATATACACAGTGATAAGCTAGCAAAAATGCCCAATAAGAGCTTTTTATTATGGCATATGTTCCTTTTGCTAGCAGTGCAATTCTGTTGCGTCATATTTGTTTTCTAGTGTCATTGATTAAGCTCCATTAGAATTTTAGATCTCAAAGGCTCCTTTGAGACCATCTAGTTCCTCATCATTATTTTATGAACGGGGACAGTGTGAGCAAGAAATGATTCGCTAATGCTCCAGTTTGTAGTTCACAGCCCTTTCCATTATGCCTCCCTTTTCTCTAATGGTGGATAAAAATGATATTCTGGGTTCCCAGATCCTTTAGATGTTAACATTTGCCAAAGATGTAAATTGATGTCCACTCTACTCTGATCGATAGAGTGAGGGAAGTCTTGGGCTCCCCACAGGTACAGCTTTGGTGTCAGTGAGCTGCCCAAGATGTAGTGTTGTGAACTTGGCAGAAGACCTGACATGTACTAGCTGCGAGTGTGCTTTTCTATGTGTCCAAGAGGTGTCAAAAAGCCAAATCCGATACTAGAACCCTGCCCAGGGTAGAATAATGTAATTATTTGGACTCTGAACTGTTTTATGAAAGTCCATTAATGAAGATTAAACCTGTTATGAAGAACATTTGTTAAACACCATTTCGCCAACCCTATAAATTCAAAATATATTATCTGTGATTTTTTTTTGAAAATTCAAGCATCATCATCAGCTTGCAAGGCGTACTTGTGACACCTCCGAATTAATTTGAATGTAAGACTATGGTGTCAATTTCTATGGGACAAAAATGTTACAAGAAATATTTGAAGAAGTTAGCATAATTTTAAAACATAACAAAACACAGAGTATATGGAGTTCTTAATAGCTTCAAATTATTACATATTGAGATAAAACTGTACGCCAAGGAAGCATGTAGGCTTCTCATATACAATATCTCCAATTATCTTAAATTTTTTTTTCAGTACTGGGGATCAAACTTAAGACCTTGTGCTTGCAAGGCAGGCGTGGCACCACTGAGCTAAATCCCCAGCCCTTAACATTTTTGATGTAGGTAATATTACCTTCATTTTAAGGAAGTTCATAAAGTTAAAACCATGACTCATACGTATAGAATGAATGCATGTTAAATGTTTTATTCAACTCATTAACTCACGGAGAAACTTCTTAATAAGATGTGAAGTCTTGTTTAAATAAAGTATTTTGAGAAAGGGGTCAGAATATAGAATAGGTTATATTAAAAACATTGTTAATATTCTTTAAGTCATTTAAACCATAACCTTGGAGATTGTCTTTTCTATCAAATAGAATCTACAAATTAACATGCAGCTTTAGAGAGTGGAGGCTCTAATAAAAATAAAAATAAAGTAAAAAGCAAGAAAAATTCCTTGAAGGAACTAAATAATTCTTGAGTCATATTATTAATCAGTGACCCAAAGTGACATTAAAATCACATGATACATTTATTTTTAAGTTTCAGTTAACTTCTTAAAAATATTACAAGGCCTAGAAAGGCTAAAACCTTGGGCAAAATTTTAAAACCAGATCATTCCATATGGAATGTCTGATGTTTCTGCTATGTAGCACTGTCTTGTGTATTACCAGTATAAACACTGCAGTAGCAAATGATTTTAAAGCAGCATTGTAGATACTTTCAAAAATCTCTTTCAGTTTTTTCCATCTATACTGACAATATCAATTCCTGCTTTTTTTCAGTCTCTTCTAATTTTCCCCAACTTGGCAACCTAAATCTGAAAAATCATTCAGCCTAGACTTCAAATTCTTTATTTCTCCAGCATGTTGCTGTCAAATATGCAATGAATGAAATCATCTCAGCTTGTTTTTTCAGGGACTTGTTTATTTCCTTTGGGATGAAAAGATAGTAGTTTAATAATTTTATTATGGAATTTTAAAAGATATTCTTTCTCAATGTCAGAGTTTCTCCTGGATCCTAATTAAGAAGTAATTTTATCATTTGTGGCCTTGATTCTTCATTAAAAATACATTTACTACTTTAACGCATTCTGACCGACGCTTTGAGAGCAGGTAGAGGTATCAAGGTATGGGCAGTGGTGTCCCTGGATAACAAAAACTCAGCCTAAAATACAGCAGGTAAGGGCAGTGGTAGGAGAGCCCATGCATGAGACCGCTGTATAGCTGTTCATCTGAGGTAGGATGAAGGAGGTGTACGGGAGACGTTGAGCTGCATGGACTTTATTTCAGCAGTGAGCTGGAGGAGGAGCAAGCTCTCCGGGCAGGTGAACAGTGAAGACATCTATATGGATTCAACACAGGCTTGCTTATAAAGCATCTAACAGAATGCCTGACCAGACTTCCTTGGTGTGCATTTTAAAGCTCGTATGAAATGAGCTCTTTAGCTGAGTCCATATTTCTAATTTTGTGAGAAGTATCTTTTGTGAACATTTTGTAAGAATGCTTTACCAAACACTTGTGTGCATGTACACACATGCCCAGGTGAGTAAAACATTGTATCTATTTCCTCCTAGGAAAAGAGAACACTGCTAGAAAGGAAACTGTCTTTGGAAAACAAGCTGCTGCAACTCAAATCCAATGCTCCATATGCTAAAAGGTTTGCAAATCTATCTTCTAAGTCAAAGCAGTGCCTGATATTTTGCTCTCCACAGGCACATTAGCCATGGGACAGAAGGCTTGCCAACCCTCAAGGAAGTAGGAGAACTGCAAGTGCAGGAGGAAGGATGAATTCCTAAGATGAACAGCCACCTGTCTTCCCTTCCTCACCCTCTTCCACTGAGAAGTCAGGAGGATAGAGTTCATTGTGGGTTCCAGGGACCCAATGGGAGGGTTAATTCTTTCCATAGTGACTGAGCCTGCTACTTCCTGTTTACCATTGGTCCCCGATGCTGGAGACATGTTCATCCCCCCATGTGCCTGTCTTTGTTAACTGCTCTCTTCTACAGGCCAAAGCAAGCCAGACAGCTTGCAAGAGAAATTTTAAGCTACTTCCATGGAGCTCCTCAATTGGGTAGAGAATGATGTAAATACTGTGGAAAACATCTTTAGTTCTTTGGACTGACTCAGTGACGCAATTGCAGTACTTTGTATGCTGGATTTATGGATCTCCACCTATCCTCCTGTCCTCTCAACCCGTGTTGGGAAAGTCTCAGAACTATGAGGGTATCACTCATATCCCAAGACATGTTCCAAGGTTTTTCTTTTTCTTTTCCCATTTGATTCTAAGCCCACCACTGTCAACATATGTTCTGTTGAAAAGATACTACATTCAAAGTCAACTCTATTTCAACATTAATTTATCCATCTGGAATATTCTCTCACCAGGTTTTCAGGCTCTATTAGAAGTCTCACAGAGCCAAATTCATATTGTCATTTAATTAGAAATATATGTAAAGCATTCATCTTTCTTGATTTTTTAACTTTCACCCCTATTTTCCTTTCCTTTCTTATTGTCTGTCTCTCTCACTCATCTCTCCTTTTAGGTTGTGCTTTCTATTCAGCTCATATTCATGCATGTTTGACCACATATGCCAAAGTCCAGAAATGGACCAAGTGTGGCAATTGGATGTACATATTTGAAACATGCTGAGATGCCTGTAAGTTATTGATTTCCCTATATCTTCTTCCCTTTGAATATGTACATGGCCTCATAAGGTGGACTTCTACTACGGCTATGTGGCATTGTGCACCTTGGGAGAGAATGATGGAAATACTGCAGAGATCATCCTTAGATCATGGAATTAGTTACAAATGCTTTTAACTTACTTTTAAGTGCATTATTTTCTCCCCTAATATACAGAGACCTTTTTCTATGTGCCGAAACTACTGGCTTATACAATGTGCTTCCCGTTAAGAGCCTAGGCAGTGTGAGTTTGGGTATTTTTCTTTAAAAAATTATGTGTTTTTTCCCAATAAAAGGATTTTTGCCCACCTTTGAGCCAACAGTATAATCATTAAAAAACTAAACTGATCTATTTTTTTAGTTGTATTTATATATGAGTAATTGTCATAAGGAATTCTCAAAATACTCTTAAGGAGATGCTAGAAATTTTTTGAAAGAAGTAGGTGTTTTGTGTTTCCTGAAAAGTGTTTAAACATCCATGGTTATGCAGTTTTCATAGATTATAGGCGTCACAAATATTTATCTTACTTAGTGCCCTTTCTGAACTTGTGTAGAACCATTCACTTTACTATGTGACAACAAAGTGAAATCTTTGTGAATCAGCCTCTTTTGGTTAAAGCAATAGAGACGTGGTTAAACTAGAACTAATAAAGGAGATTTCTCTTAGACTGAGATTACATAGATATGACCATAAAGAAAAGGAAGAAAATTAAAATGTTAAAATATTTGCTTTCTTAAAAATAGAGTTGACTGTGTTTCTCCTACCATTACTACTAACTGATGCGTGAATATTGCTTTACAGAGTAACCACATGTACCTTTTTAAATTTAATCCTTCCACTGATCTTTCAAGGAGGGAACTGAGCTTCTCATTGGCTAAAACACTCATCAAGCAGATGCTTGGCCTCTCAGAAGGTCTAGGAGTCTGGCTCCAGCCTTCTCATACACAGCAAAGCCTGCTCATTCTGCCATGGAAGACTTTGACCTCCTTTCTTGCATTTCTGGAGACCTCTGAAGGCCTCTCCGATGGGTTTCCTCACTCTCCTGTATGATGATGGGCCGGAAGCTGTTTCCCAACTTGTCCCTCTGCCCTGCTATATCATAGACACATACACACAGTCTTGTTTTAGATTTAGATTTTGGGGAACGCACATTTGGGAGATGTAAAAATAAGCAGTATTGGTTCCTTCATTTAGGTGGGAGTTGCTTGGATCTGGCAAACTCCTCAGAGAAGGAAAGACTTTTGTCTTGAAGCCCAGGTTTCTGGTCAAACACATTATTCTGTGTAAATTGTACACTGAACTGTGGTGGTTTGAGGGGGTACTTTCAAGCTACTCTTTTGATGTTGTCACTGGAAGTAACAATGGAGAAGATTTTGATGCACAATAAAAAGATAAATGTTTTGTTGAAATGTGAATGGAGTTACACCTACATATATGCTGATTTTTCATCTTGATTTGGCTGGGAATGGTGAAATCTTGACCTCTTCTATTCTCATGGTTGTGATTCCCCTGGGAACTCACATTTAGCAATTTCCATACTCAGGAGAAGCCCAAAGAAACATTAGATCCTAGACGCAGGCAATCTTTTGAGTCCCTATAGATTAGTATTACTGTATTTTTTCAAAGCTTCACAGAACCACAACCTCACTGTCTTCTCACAAGTTGGAATTCTGTGTAGAGTTACTCACATTTCTAATGCCTGGGTAGTGTAGTGTGCCCAGAAGCAGCATTTGGGGCATACACATTTCAATTGCCACTTTTACTCCCTTCTTCTTTTATCTTAGTACCTAGCTCTTTTTATTTCTTTTGAAATCTTTATTCGTGTAAGTGCATGAATCCCTGGTAATAAGGGTATTTTGTAAAGACATTAAAAAGTTGTTTCTTGGAATTTTATAAATAGGGTAAGATTTATATTACTTAAGAATTCACAAGTCATATATTATGTATCCTGGGTTCCAAGAAAATTTAAGGTGGTTTATAAAAACGAAATAAACTATGTCATGATTCCTTAAATTGGAAATAAAATGTATAGTGAGGCCTGAACAGATATTTTATATGTGAAGTCTACAAAATATATACCATAGGATGCTACAGATGTATTCACAATGGACAACTGCCTAAATTTTGAATTTTCTAGTAGTCAGTCCAAAAAAGAACTTAGTATTACTTTGTAATGTACAATGTCTGCATAACTAAAACCAACAAGTTCTTTGGGAGGAGCGCAGTGCTTTGTAATATGTTCATATGATCAGAAAGAAAATTGTCCAGGATATGTTCACAAAGAAAATGTTGGGGCTGGGATGTAGCTCAGTGGTGCCATGCCTGCCTTGCAAGCTGAAGGTCCTGAGTTCAATCCCCAGTACTGGGGGGTGAAAAAAAAAAAGAAAATCTTGAATAATGTCTTAATTAAATCATAATAGGCACAAAGTCTGTACATCAGAACATCTTCTAAAAAAGGAAAGCATAATACCCAAGAACAATTCAAACAAAGCCAATTATAACAGTGAAGACAGAGGGCAATGTGGCCCAGGCCAATAATGCTGCCTTCTGATAGTGTAAGTTGACTCAAAGAGCATCCTGAGGAAGAGCTGGAGAGATGGCCCTCCATGAACTTAAGTTTTCGCCACCAAGCCTTTGGCAAACATCAGCCAGTATAAAGATTAAGGGTAGGCTTCCTGTCAGGTACTAACTTGACAATCATCATCATCCTGTATTAGTAGAAAAAGGCAAAGCCATTTGCTTTCATAGTTTTGCTAAAGATGGATATCTTAGTCACTTTCCTTATTGCTGAGATGCAATACACAATATCCACAACTTAAAAGAGTAGAGGTTTATTTTGGCTCATGGTTACAGCCATGGTGGTCTGGCTCCAAGGCAGAAATGGCAAGGTGAAAGCCTGGGTAGAAGGAGGCTGCCCACATGATGGTGGACAGGAAACAGAGAGGGGAGAAGCCAGGGAGGGAAAGAAAGCCATCCAGGCCATGCTCCCACTGACCCACCTCTTCTGACCAGATCCTACCTCCTTACAGCACATTCAGCTGTTGACCTCACCATGGATGAACCTGCTGATGAGTATAGCACTCCATAATCCAATCACCTTTCAAAAGCCCCACCTCTGAAAACAGGAGGCTTTGGGGAGAAATTCTAAATCTAAGTCATAACAATAGGATGACTTTCTTTCCTGAATGCTGTGAACACTAATAGAAAGAGAACCAGAGATGGCCTTCTTACCACTGTCCCTTTTTGATAATGTGATAAGTTGAGAGAAAATTCTCAATTCCCTTCCTAAAAGAGATTGTCTTCTTTTTCTTCTCCCCCCCCCCCGTCTCTCTCTCATTCTCCTGATACCACTGATATTCTGGGCTATTACCTTGTCCAGCTCCAAGGCTGGGATATATAAGGTAAAAAGAAAATGCAGGGCACTAACCATTGTATTTTCCTAGGACCTCAGGATCCCAAACCATCTGCCTCCTCTCTTCATGCTTCAGAGTCTTCTTATGCTTGTTTACATACAACATGCAGAGATTTTAGTTGTACCTACTGGGAAGAAGCCAGAAAAGTATGTTTTCTGTACCTTTGAAGCTGAAGCTTTTCAGTCATATTTTAATTTCAAGATTTACTTTATATTTTTTATTCTATTGCATTGTAGAGGAGCAAATTGATAAAAAAATTCTCTTACAGCTCTGGGACGCAGAGCATAAATCCTAGAAGGAAGACATTGCTTAGAAGAGGTCTGTCTTTTTCCAGACTTGGTCCTTCATTATGTTTCCTTCCTCCTCTTTGGTTTGTGTAGCTCTTTAGTATGACTAAATGACTTAATGGAAAGATTAATATAGTGCAAGAGATAAGGAATATTCAACCTGTAGAGTTTATCTACAATGTCTTTTCGTCATTGTTCTAGTGTCTTAATGAAGAGAAGCCCCAAAGCCCAGAGTTTTCAAGAGTGTTTCTAGATATAATTCCACCTTGAGACAGATTTCAAATTTGTATTTATTTATAATGAATTTTATTAATACCTTCGAGAAACTCATGGAAAAATATTCTGAGCTTGGTATTTTTGGTAACCCCCTCCAACCCACCAGTTTTCCCTTTTGTTACAGGGCTCTGGATTATGGGCCACAATGAAAGCCATTTTGAATACTTGCCTTTAACATTTTTTTGTATTTTATGCATATTGAAAGCCAGGTTGCCTGTACAACACACTTAATGTTCTTGCTTGTTATGTCTGGGGAAAGTCCTGATTCTGACCACTAAATAGATCATTGTTCTTTCTTCTTTTTGTTGCTTTTTGGAACAATTTTGAATTTTAGCACCAGCTATGGGCTGGCTTCCTATTAGACTTTAATGCTGTTTTTGATCCTCATGTCCTTAACTCAGTTTTCCTGGTGCCTGAGTTTTTTTCTTCTAAGACTCCCTACGTCCCCATTCTCTGAAGCTTTTAGCAACTCTACCCTCCAGTCATCTGAGCATCATTCTCAGATGTCTCAGCCCCAACCCTTGCATGTTGCTTATCTCCTCAGACTCCCAAGGATCCTGTTCCTTCAGATTTTCTGGGATGTAGACCCTTTTCTCTTTCCTGGGGATGTTTGCACACCTCCAAGTCTGGTCTCTTTTTGGAAGGTTCTGAGTTCCCCACCCCATTGTTCTGAATGTCACCCATGGGAGGTCCTGAAGTCTGCTCAAACTCTGTGCCTTTGGCAAGGAGGCTTTTGATTCTTAAATCCAGGGATAATTAGAGCCTAATGTTAATTTAGGGAAGTGCTATAGTAGCCACTCCTGAACTTGAATTTGTTTTATTTTAATTAATTTTTGTTTTTACATGCTTGCAGTACATAAAGATTACATTCTTTGTGGGAAGTTGCATGGATACACCATAATTTGTTTTCTCAACCTTCCATCATGAGTATTTATATCATTTTTAAGGCTATGAACAAAATGAACCTTGTTCTGCTTATATGTGCATTATGTTACAGTACTGTATACCATACATTGTTTAATTATAAAGGATAAATCAATACTAATGGTCATAATTGGACATTATACTTGTGCAAGGAGTACTATAGTTTTGTAGCAATTAATCTTTTTGACAGTGAGCTGAACTTTTCTAAATCTCTCTCGTTCAAAAAACAAAAGAGGGAGAAAGTTAAAAGAATGTCCTAAAATTTGCAAGTTGCCTTCAAAGTGCTTGGCTTTGAGAGACTATATTAATTACTAAAAGCTACTGAGGCACCCTTAGTGGCTTAGTGCTCTACTACTCAAAGCATCATTTTTGGGCCAGAAACATCATGGCAACACTCAGCTTGTTATAAGTGTAGAATATCAAGTCTTATACCACCCTTCTGCATCAAAATCTGGAATTAACAAGATCCCTTATGCCTATTAAATTTGAGAAGTAATGTTTGATTACATGATGTGAAACAAGTGGAGACTAATAACTTTCTTCTAATGAGAACATGTTTTATAGTGTTGTATGAATTTCCATTTCCATCATCTTTATAATATGTGTAAAGACTATAAAAGTACAAAATTGTGCCCACATTGGTTGAGGGATACTAATTGTAAAACCTTAATAGGCCAAAATAATACTGATACATATCTTTGCAAATGCATATTACTTTCAAAAAGCACATACATTTTATTTCTTTAGGTCTATACATTACTCTCATAAGGTAATAAAAGCAAAGTTGTCACTGTATCTGCTATAGTTTAGAAAAGTTGAGTGACTTCTCAGGAACATAGTGTTCGCAAGCTTGGTAGTTTTGCCACAATACATACGGTTTTTAACTACTATACCAAGAAGAGAAACAGTCAAAAGCTATATGATCAATTCTAATTACCCTAAAGGAGCTTTGGAAAAGTATGAATAACCTAAAATTATTGATTCATCATTTCTCACAATGTTTTATGTGGATTCAAACATAATCTTTCATTTTTCTTCCTTTCCCTATTTACAAATAGTAGAATTATGCAAAGTAGGAAGCTCCCTCCACCAAAAAAAGAAAACCTCAAGTAGAAGATAAACACATGCAATCCAGAACATATACTAAACCTGCATAATTGGAATTTGGTTTCTATATATGTAAAGTGTCCATTCCTGCTCTTGTGTTGCTATCGCCATGTGAATTTTCAGGAGTGCCAGATCTGTGGAAGCCAGGCAAGACAGGTTACATATGGAAGTGCTTCACCTGGTATACAACTTGACCAAGCTACCTGATGGAGGGACTCACAGAGGAGGTTTTGACAGGAATTGATATTATCATTCAAGTGCTTACCTGAGCATGTCGTAGGCTGTTTTCTTTTCATTGCATCTTGTGTGAGACATGAACGCTGGGTCTTACCCACACATATTCCACAGCATGGGGTATGTGAGGAGGGCCTAGCTACATGGGAAGCAGAAAGAGTACAGACTGTTAGCAAAGCTTTCTCTCCCTCCTTCTTTTCCTTTGTGTTCCTAGGTGCCAGGATGTTCAAATGGAGATTTCTATTCTCCAGGAGCAGATCTCGCATTTGCAGTTTGTGATTCATTCTCAGCATCAGAACCTGCGCAGCATCATCCAGGAGGTCAGACTAATCACATGTGTTACTGTGTGAACACCAAATGAGAGTTGCATGTCTGGACTTCAGAAGTAACGAGACTTTCCTCCCTGCTGATATATCTAATAGGTCTCTCATGTACTGTGGCTCAGGCTTCACTGCCTTCTCTTATCTCTATCACCAACGCCTGTCCTAGTCTCAATGAAGACAGTTTTGGATATTGTGTTTACCTGTTTTAAGGTGGTTCACTGATTTTTATGTAAGTATTCTGAGTCAAATACTGCTCACGCTTATCTGGAAGGATTTGTAGATCAGGAGAGTCATACCCTTCCTGAGTAAGAAGTTTTCTGGGTTTTATAACCTCATAAATAATAAGTTAATCAAGGAGGTGTTTTAGGGTAGAAAATAGCTTGACTCTTCTCTAGGAACATGCTGACAGGTGAAAAAGAAGAGATAATGGTGACAGCAGCCAGCCAGATGGTGGACTGGATGAGTATGTAATATCTACTTCCAGATGAGTATTCAAAATCAGACCTCTATTCAGTGTTTTTTACTTTGTACTTGACATTTGCTTTCTAAAGGAGCCTTTCCCAATCATTCCAGTGCCCTCCTAACATAAATGTAGCATTTGTACTTGCTTGGCTGTGATCTCACCAAAAGGTGGAGAAGTTTGGGGATTTGAGAGCCTGGAGGGACTTTGGGAGCATCCTACTCTCTCATCTTACAAATGAGGAAACCGAGGCGTGGGGGTGTGCAGTGACAGAGCTGGGTGTGAGAACTGGCTTTGAATCCAGGTGCGCCCTCTCTTCCAGCACCACTCTGTGCCTCCTCACCCCTCGCCTCAGTTTCATGTGGCCTCTTGGCAAAGTAGTCTTGTCTCATCTCACTGCGGGCTGACAAGTTCTCCTCCTCCAAGAGCCTGTGCATGCCAGGCAGGACCTTGCCTTACGCCAACCAGCAGGTGCATTTGGGGGATGGAACCATTAACACCTAGGGATCTAGGGATGACTGATGCTGCTTTCCACAGGATGTGGTCTGCTGAATTTGGTGTAAACAGGTTATCCAGAGACTGAAATGTGTAACAGCACTGTTGGAGTGCTTTCCTCCCCAGGTGCCAATTATGTCTGTGTTTTTCTGGAGCCTGCTGAGTCTGTTAATGCTGTGAGATTTCATGTTTTTATTTGATGAACATCATTTGACCTCAGAAAGTGGTACAATTTCTGATTTAAGTAACTAGTCCCTGTGGACTGACAAGATTATTCCAATTGCATTTTTTAACTCTTAGATGGAAGGATTAAAAAATACTTTAAAGGAACAAGATAAAAGAATTGAAAATCTGAAAGAAAAGGTCAACATACTTGAAGCCCAGGTAAGAAGGGAATGTATGGTACATTTCAGTATGTGTGTGTGTGCGCGTATGTGTGTATCAGTGAGCCTGTGTGTTCATGTACTTGTATATGATTATGTACTTGTATGGCACTATACCTGAGTGTGTCCATATAAATGCATGGGACCATGTCTATGTGTACCTGTGTGTGCAGTTAGTATATACAGGTGTTTTCTAACGAGTGTGTATGTGTATGTTCTTTGCACAAGAAATCTATCTTGGGGGAAGTCCTTATAATAATTCTTCAATCATTTTGAATTACTATTACATATTTAAAATATTATATTTTTAAAATTATTAATGTTATTAATATTACTTATCAAATGGATATTAAATAATAGTAAAATTTCTTCCAAATTTTCCAGAGCACTCCTAGTGAGACAAAGGATGCCCTTTTCCAATATGGATTTTCAGTTAAAAGCTTGGTCAAGGCCCCTACTAGGTCGGTCCCACACAAGCCAGGTGGCCTGGCTTCCTGTCTCCTGCCTTTGTTCCCATACATGTTTCTTTCCCAGCCTGAGATGTCCTCTTCTCTCCTCTTTCTTTATCCCCATCCGTCCTGGCATCCAAGTTTTACCACAGGGCTTGCTTACTTTCAGAAGTCTGTTGCAACTATCTTGCTTTTCAGTGTTTTAAAACTTGATGTAATGCTTTCTAATTTCCCTTCCTGTCTTGCAGTGGCTGCCTATGCTGTGTGTGTCCCTGCCTCACAAAAGTGCAGTGAAGCCTGGGTTAAGGTTGGCACACCCCTGAGCATCTGTGGCACCTCCAGCTCCACTATTCTTTCTGTGCCACCCCTTTGTCTCTGCCAAATGGCTCATCCCCAACTGCCAGGACCCAGTTGTACTTTCTACTTTACCCCTCAGGGTATTGTTTTCCTGCTTGGTATCCACCTGCTAGTGTTGGCCTTTCCTGTGGAAGACAGAGGTGCTCTGACTTTCACTGGAAATCAGTATCATCTTTTGGAACTTGTTTCCTCCCCAGCCTAGACTGGAGAGGAGCATCATGAGTGTGCCCCCAGAAC